TTTCCATAGACTAAAGTTACTTTGAATTTGAAAATTATCTAAAGGAGAGGCTTAGAGTACATAGCATTTTATTTTGGACACAAAAAGCGTATTCAAACTCAAGTATTTAAGGTAGGGGTGTTTTCGGCACTTTTGTCAGTGACGTAAGAATTATCTGTTTTCATTTTACATCAAAAGTTTTATTGTGTTACTCATGATGGAAGCACTGTTTGGTAGTTCAAATAAGAGAAAGAGATTGAAGGCGACACTAATGACTAAAATTTGTATTTGTGTTATTGTGTTACTTTTGAAGGAAGCATTAAGTGAAAGTGATTGACGGTGACATAGCTGATCAAAGTTTGCATTTCTGAAAATATATATTTTTACCATTTATTTAAGTATTTTCCTACTGAGTATTACTTTTTGTACTCATCTCTACTAAAATTTTTCTGGTTAATTTGAGGTATGGCAATGGTTTGGCATAGTGGCAAGTGCTCGGTGATTTCAAATGCTATCAACTTTCTAACGAAATTTCCAGTTTGTGTAAATGTCTTATGAATAATAGACGACACTTTTAAAAATGTTTTAAACATCTATTCCGTCTAGTTTTATAGACATTGTATGTCGACTATAATTTATAAATGTTGTATTTGTCTATGCATAGTATGCTGTATCGAATTTTCAGATTCTGCTCTTCTACTCAATATGGTATAATTTGGGCTACAGTAAACGTTTTATAGTGAAATCAGTTGAGTTTGAAAGGTTTATAAGTCCTCTAATAATGGTCTTTGGAATTACCCAAAAATATTGCCTAGAGAGAAAGTTATACCCATTTTAGTAAACCGCATCGGGTCAGATTCGAATTTTCTGCATAGTCAAACAATATTTTTGTGTTCCAAACATTATTGCTAAGAGCCCAATTTTTTATATGTTGTACAATTATTAATGTTTTGTCTCTGATAAAATTTCATTATTTTAGTCGACGTTTGTTAGATTAAAGCCCCGTTTGGCCTCCTTTAAAACTCTTCAATTTAATTTAAATTTTTTCTCTCATATTTTTTAACAACACAATTTTCAATAAAATAATATTACACAAAAATCAAAAACTTTTCATTCTTTTACAATCATCATTTAAAAAAAAAAAACCTTATTCCCCCATTTTAAACCCAAATAATGGGGGCTAAACATATTTTTTCTCTCCGGTGCTGCACAACTGGTACTTGCTGGTTTTTCCCCAAATGTTTTTAAAAATCAAATTTTCACCATAATTATTTAAGTCTATATGGACAAATACTCACACTATTTTTATATATTTCAAACTCCAAAACTTTTCTTATTAACAATTTATTTTTGTTAACATCAAAGGGGTCAATCCAAAGAAATATTGATTTTTAACGCTTCGAGTTAAGAGATTTTGGGGCATTATAAGACAACCATCTAGATGAGATAGCGAGGACTCTTCTAGTTCTTCTAGCTGGTTGGAGTTGAATATGATCCGACTTATTTGGTTGAGATGTCCAAACTATTTATAGATAACTCATGTATGATTTAGTCAAATGATAATGGGATTTATTTTAAAGATAAATTATCGGAAGTTTCAAATTGACTTGTGGGTCTTGAACTGTAGTTTAGGTTGGTTGGTATCACGAGCTAGACAAAAGGTTACAAGTTTGTTAAGTGGGCTATTCGTGAGCCAAGTTTCAAGACTTGGGTTGCTTGGGCTAGTAGAATAATTTTTAACATTACAACGATTATAAGGTTTCGATTTAATATACAAGATTCATAATTCAATTGAATCATAGAACGTCATATTTAAGCATGAAATACTGTAAGGATTTCAGCTTTAAAGCTCATATATCAATGAAAGAATTTTGCAGCATTCTTTAACATTAATTTCGGGTCAAAATTGTTACCTAAATAAATGAATTTCAAGATTTTTTTTGTGTGGTTGAATCACCTTACTTTCAAACTCCATAATCTATATTTTCTTGCTCTCCAATTGTCTCAATCTCAATTACAATAGAATGTGATTATTATCCACTTTCTTGCGTCTAATTTTGTGAGTTCCCATGTTAAACATGAATAGACTGGCCCTAGGTAGGGGGAGGTCTTCTGGAAAAATAGCTCGGCGCCAAGATAATAAAAAGCTTAATACCTGTCGTTCTTATTATTATTATTTTTTTGAACAAAAAAAATGAAAAACCAACAGGCTGTCTTATATAGAACCCCAATTATGACATCCCTTCTTTCGCATTTCACTCTTCAGAACACACCATTCTTATAGAGATAAATGCACTTTTACATCTTCTTAACCCGAAATGAAATGGTTCGAGAGGAGAGAGGAAATGTTCCTGTCTTTTAGGATACTCCGGGGATCAGATCTAGTGAAAATGGGATGTGGCCTGCAACTTGAATTTGATTTATTTAAACTAAAATTTTCTCGAGTCCATAAATTGCCATTTAATATGAAATTTGAAATGAACCCAATATTGATAGGGTAATATTCAATCCTCCAATAAATACACATTTGACTTTGATACATTATTAACATTGAAACTTTTTTTTACGTTAGTTCCTCAAGATCTCAAAATTATCAATCCTTAGAATATTCTCTTCACTAAATAATCTTATCTCGTCACTTTATCATCTAAAAATATATCTTTGTCACTATTTATAATATAATCCCTATATTTTACGCTCTTTATATTTAGGATCCCATCTCAGTTTAAACTCTAAAAACCATTGTTCTCCTTATGAGTCACCTTAAAATATTCTCAGGTCTTCAAATTATTGTTCTTAAAAGTTTCTCATAATTTTCACTTTAGTCCTTAAACATTCTAGAATTCTAGAAATTTAATATTACTTGAGTCTTTCCAATTAATAATTTTTGAAAATTATTATTTACACTATGCATCAACTGATGCTTAAGTGAATTTTTACAAGGTATTTAATTTTATGCGAATTGAGAAAAAATATAATTATTTTTTACAATTTATTCAATCTGATCACCGATTGCCCAACAAGTAGCAAATTTGCAATGTCATATAGGTACCTTAATCAATTAGATTCGTTTATTTGAATAACTCTGTTATATCATTTTCATTTAAAGTCATTCCTAATCACACTTTATGCACTTTCCACCCCCATAGACCCTTCTTCTTTAGGTGCAGCATATAGACCCTTCTTCGTTAGGTGCAGCGTACGGAGCCATTGTAGAAATTAGATTCTATTATGTTAGATATTAGAAGCTATTTTTTTTTTGTGGCATATTTGATGGACTAAGAAAGTACTTTAACATATATATTTTGATGAGATTTTGAGTAAATAAATCGTATTGTCTGTTCACACTTTTTTTTTAAATGAGTTCATTTATGAAATACTCGAAGTGTGATAGGTTGTTCCCAGTATTGAAATACCCAGATCAATCCACCCAATGCCAACGCCCAGTTTTATATGCTATCTTTGAATTTGTTTTATGCTTAAAAGAGGAAGAAGATGATGGGCACATAAAACATGATAAGAAAAAGAGGATGGACATGGAAAAAGAAGGTCGTGTTACATGGTTACAACTTATGTAATAAAAATGAATCAACAAATTAAATTACAGATGTAACACGATACGAAATGACATAAATTTTATGTGCAATGAAACTCTTTTACTTCATCTAGCAGTACAATAAGTTGCCAGGAATTTTTTTTTTTTAATGTTTTCCTAAATTGTAGCTCGTTAACCAATTTACAGCTAATAAAATAAATATGCTTGTTTATGATTGGGCTATAGGGGAATCGAATTTGATTGTAATGATGGGGGTGTTAAAATTGATGTGGATCATGATTCTTTTATTATTTATGAAAAATTAGATGATATTGAGAAGAGGTCAAATAAAAATGTCGAAGTTGATGTATTTTTTATAATTAAAGTTTTGTTATTTAATTAAGTTATGATTTTGGTCTGACTTTATTGATACGATGGTACGTGTTATTGGTGAGTATATGATGGAAGACATATATGTATGTATTGTTATTTTTTTCCATTTATATGTTATAAATGTAATATGCAATTTTTTTTCGTAGTGGAATGTCCACTATGGACATGATAATATGTGGTGTTGCCACATCAACATGAGGGGTATAACATGGCAACATCACATACGTTCACGTCCATCATGGACATTATAACTCTTGTACGTCCATCATGGACATTATAACTCTTGTCCTTGTGTACAAGAGATCAAATCCAATGTAATTAATATGTCGATTGACACATGAGATATTCATTTTTAGACCAAAGGTCAAACAAGTGGTTAAAGAGGAAATATATACACTCCTACCTTTTTAGTTTTTCATTTCAATAATCAGGTTTAAAAACTATTTTTTACAAAACTCATGTGTAATCCCCCACCCAATTCCACACCTATCCACTTAATATAGAGAACCTAATCCTAATAGCATTTCTACCACTTCATCCACCATCACTTTCAATCAACCACCACTGTCCTCATTGCCACAAAACACTACTAGTCTTCTCTCCACCATGATAGTAACTGCAGAGCTCCCTTCCTTGCCCTTTAGACTGGCCGCTTTTGTTCCTTCTCCCTCTTCTACGGCCGTTTCTACTCTTTCGTTCACAAGTGCACTGGTGAAGGCAAAAAATCAAAATGAATTACAATGTTTTGTACATTTGGCTTCACCTCCCAAGCCAAAAAGCAAGCAAATGTTATGAACTTGGATGTTTGATGGACGCAATGGTGGATTACATTGATTGTGGTATGGTGGATGTGTGGTGCACTGTTGTTTATGTAGTGTTAGTTGTGGATCTAAGTGGTGATGGTATGGTGCGTGCTGTTCGTGGTGCGATGAATTATAGATTTGTGTCATGGTAAATGAGTAGAATAGTGTTTTTTTTTTTTTTTTGAAAAATGAATGGTAAAAAAAGAAAGATTTTTTTTTTTACTTCTTGTAAAATTTTAATGAAGAATGTGTGGTTGAAAATGAATAGCGTAGAAAAAATAATGTGGTAGAATGTGGAAGAATGGAAGATAAAGCAAGCCTAAATTTGATAAAGGATGGTGAAAAGACCAACCTCATACGAACAAAGATACAATATACACCTTTGAAGATACTTGGCTAATTCTTACCCTTACTGACAATAAACCATCGGGAAGCCTCAAGGAACGAAGCTGAGATGGTTCCCTGATTTCAGTCCACTTCCAGATCTTGGGATTTTCCATATCACCAGAAATTTTAGGCTTTATATCTGGCAAATTCCTGCCATCCCCGTTCTGTAGACCCTCATGTAAGTTTCCACATATAAACATCTGTTAAGAGCTTCCGTAAAACCAAAAACTAATGATGCAGGTGAGGTAATTAAATAAGAACTGTCTTTTTTCAAAGACTGGCTGGGGCAATACTCACCAGAGCAGCAACAGCCGTCACTGGTCCATTTTTATCAGAGCTCGTGCTTGTCCCTGCAGCTGAACCAGAAGCACAAAATGGCCCAACCATAGGAACCTGTACAATAAATGACGAAAGTATAATAATGTGGTCATCTTAAAGTCTGCTTCTATATACCAAAATAGTTTACCTTAGCAACAGCTCCAGATGCACGATTTTCCATGAAGCGCATCAGAAGAATACCTTCAGAATTTGCGAGTACTTTGACACCATTCTCACTAGTTGATACAGCCAATATCATTCCTTCCTTATTAAACCTAATGCAAGGTGATGCCTACAAAATGAATAAAAGGAACACTGTTATGTTGTACAAAATGGTTCTCCAAAACTGGAATGTAAAAGAGTTCGAAGTCAGCAGTTACCGGCAGACCACCATCCGCATCACAAGTGGTCAAGAGGTTTACATTATCCATGTCCCAATATTTTATTGCAAACTCATCTCCAGCAGCTAAAAACCGATTTTTTGTTGTGTCAAATTGCACCACTCCAACAGACCGTTTTCCAAGACCGATGTATGTCCGCTTTACGGCCCCTTCACTCTCATTCCACTCTACAATGTATGATTCACCATCTTTGCTAGTACCACATGAAAATAGCCTACCATTTATTCAATAAAATAAGAAAGATATGTATGTTAGCCAAAGCTGAAGTAAACCCACTTAAGGTGATTAGAAGCATAATTGGCTGTGCTTAAAAGTAAGTTTTAACTTACTCTTAAATTAATTATTTTGCTGTGAAACAAGGTAACCAAAGTTATTTTTCCTTTGATCCCCATTTAAAAAAATTAAAAAAATAAAAGAATTCATTTTTTTCCTAATAAAATAAGAACAGGCAAACGTGCTCTTAAGGAGGCCAATAGGAGGCAGAATAGCAAATACTATACCTTGTTCCATCAGCACTATAGGCCATTGTAGTACAAGAGAGACCTGGGGCATCATAATCAACTCTAGAACCCATATTATCGTATAACCAGGCCTTGATCTTCCCATCAAAAGCAGTTGAAAAGATGAACTACAAAAGTATAACATGTTTTTTAAAATAAAAGGAATGGGTTGTAGCAAATAGAAAAAAGAAATGAACTAAACCTGTTCAAAAAATTAGGTACTGGAGGATACAGTTTCAATTTTGCAATCTCTTCTTTCTTAAGACTATTGGTACGTAACATTAAATAAAAACTGGTCTCATAATTCTAATTTGAGCACACTTTTGTTCAAATCAAATATCCATTAAATACCAGAAGGTTATGAGTAAAAAATTCAAAACGCAAACAAAATCACTACATGTAATATGCCAATTTTTACTCGAAGTTAAAGATATTAATGAAATATCTACAAAATATTAATTTAGAAATGCAGTACTGCCAAAACATCGAATAGTGCTTGTCATTTATGCATACTGCACTTTTGAGTAACTTCGCATCCTTAGTTCTTGTAACACCATAAATTTTGGAAACCTTATACCTGAATATTTTCTTTATAATGTGGGCATACAGAATAAACAGGTGCCTCGTGACCCTCAAACGTGTACTGCCTAGCACCAGTGGCTGCATCCCACACCTGCACAAATAACCTTTTAGAGTCACTGCTTACAGACTCAAATTCATCAATCTCTTCTCATTTACTGAAGAAAGCAAACCTTAATTGCCTTGTCCTCCCCACAGGTTATGACGCACAACTGTTTGTTTGGATGAGAGAACGCAACATCATTGACACTACCGACATGGGCATCAATCTGAAAGAATAACCAAGAGAATTCGAACCTTGTCTTGCAATTCTCATTTAAATATACAGAGAAGGTCAACAAGCAGAAGGTGAATCTACAACACAAACCTCAAGGTGATTCCTTAAGTCATCAGCGCCATTATAAGAAAATAAGTGAACAATGTGCTTTGAATATGCTACACCTGAATCAAAATTGTAACAATCACAACAGATAACCAGCACTTCTGTGCTATTTGATCCTTTCACAGTAGACTCGTTTATCTTTTCTCAAAGGAAAGATTGCAATCAAACCTCACACATAACACCAAATGCACTTATCAAAGAACCACACTGGATAATTGAGTGATAAAATTTAAGACCCCACTACTTAGTAGACAGTACCAAAAAGGTTTCCATCTGGGCTCCACATCACCCGATTCACTGATGCAGTAAATTCATTAGCCAAAGAAGCCTACATTGGAAAAGCAGAAAATTAGCCACAGTGATACCAAATAGCGTAAGCTTGTTCCAGTATCTCACGGTTGATGTGAAACGATGTGACATGAGAATCTTGCTAAGGTCTGGGTTAACCCTTGTTCGAACCTTCGATCTTCTTAATTTTTGTGTCGACCAGGTGTGAAGCACACCTTGAGAGGTGGTCGAAATTTTCCCTCATAATCAGCCAGGAACATACTGCCTTGCTTGTTCCCGAGTTAATGCCAATTGCTGCTTCAGGGTCCTAGTTTGGAGAGTCGAATCCCACCAGTGACTTGCGTCACCGGTAAACATAAAACCTGCAAACTAGACCATTTGGGTGTCAGTGCAATCTATGAGTTGAAATATTCGTTCTAACTTACAAAGCCATTCCTCAAATACTAGTGACCAGATGATTCATCGAAGGTAGCGTCTTATGCCTTCGAAATAATTCAACTATTGAGGCATTGGCTGGGAGAGTAATAAGAGCTAGTGGTGTGGGTAGAGCTTGATTTTGATTCAGCCTACTAAGATCTTGAACCGCTTGTAGGAGATCCTTTATCAGGTTGTTTTGATTAGTTAAATTTGTATACCAATATTAGAATACTTGGAATGAAAAGGGTAAAGAAAAATATTTCATGACTTGATCACTTGGTTTTTTCTTTTCAAATTAAATCTCCATAATTTCTACTCATTTCACTCTTGGTTTTCTTCTGGGTCTTCTAGATCTTCTTTTTCATCTTCATTGGCATTTGTCATAATTGGCTGTGCAACTTCGTCGTTTGAAGTCATTGTTGATTTGGGTCCTGAGTGGGCGATAACATCACCAATCATGGTCTCCCAATTATGGATATAAGCGTAGCAAAAATTCTCAAAGTCTAGTTCTTTAGGTTTACTTTCCAAAATTAACGTGATTCCTTCTTCTAGCATTTTATCTTTCTCTAGCCATCTGTCACTCACAGCCTTAATTTCTAACCTAATACATGTCTTTTGTATAATATTTTTTTTTTCCAATTTACATTTATCTTTGCGTATAAAAATACAAAAAAAAAATGTAGAATGTACTGAATGGACTGAAATGTCACTTGAATAATTATACCTTATTTGTAGACTTAGTAATTAACTAT